GAATGAAAGGGGGTGTGCGATAAAGGATGATTAAAGGCCGTCGAGCAGCTGAAAAGACAAACACTCTCTTATCCAACCTGTCTCCTTGGGAGTCTGAGGAGACGGCGTCTCCTGGGACAGGGTGGTCCAGCTGGAGTCTTCGTCCCCTGATGGAGTATCAGGAGTCAGGTCCATTCTTAAGCCCACTTTGGGGAGCCCAGTCTCATGTTCAGGATCTGGCAGAGGAGGGGGCGCTCGGCTCCTGGTAGGAGGGCTCCTCTCTGCAGCTCGGGCCAGTTTAGGGGAGGAAGGCGGGTACTGTTGCAGGAACTGGTTCTCATTGTTGGGGTGCAGCTCCACTTTGATCACCCGGGGCTGGGAGCTGCGGGGGGGTTTCGCAGGACTGCGTGCGACAGTCTGAACCTGACCACAGAGCTCCCCTATGACCTGGACTGGAGCCGGGCTCTGGAGGGGGTTGAGGTTGCCTGGGATCCACTCTGGGCTGCTGGTGGAAGAGGAGGAAGTGGAGGAAAGCGGGGCCTCCACCACCACTGGTAGCAGGGGCTGTCTCAGCATAGGTGTGGGGTCATCTTCCTCTTCCTCCTCCTCCACCACTGGTTGCACTTCTTCCCTCTCTTCCGGGCAGGTCTGCTTGCTGCTCGGCTTCTCCTCCTTCTGACTCTCCCTCTCTTTGGCAGGACTAGCCTGCTCTTTCTCTGAAGACGACTGTTGCTTCTTCTCCTCCTCCTTCTCCTCCTTGTTTCCCCAGTTGAAGTCTAGATCCAAGCCCTTCCCATGGTACTCCAAGAAGCTCTTGGTGCGTCTACGGATCGTTGGCTGCTGTGAGTTCTCTTTCCCGAGTTCTAGCCAATCAGAAGTTGGGTTATTAATGAGATCATTGTGTATTTTGCCTTCTGTAGTAGCCCGGCTAAGTTCTAGCTGCTGGCTCTCAGCTCGTCTCTGCATGTTGGCTCCGTTCTTGGCCAGCTTGGGGTTGGTTGCATTAAACAGTGAGGAGGCGGAGGAGGAGGAATAGAGGGCTGAGCTGGAGGAGGATTTGGTGGGGAGGCCCCTCCCTCTGGTCACAGGTTGGTTTTTAGACGACAAGTTGTCACTGATCCCCATGGCGCTCCGCCCGCTGGTCATTGCGTACCTCTGACGGCTCTTTGGCAAAGTGGACGAACTTCCAGTCTCCATGGACTCCTTGATGACATCATGCCCATGCAACTGGTTGTACGACGAACGATTGGCCAGACCCACGTTTGAAGGGGAGGAGCCGGAGCGGGAGAGCGGAGGGGTTTGTACGGACATCATGGCCGATTGGGAACACACTGCTGTGATGGAGCTGAAGGGAGAAGAGACGCAACATCAGAAATCATGTCACCGTGTTTAACCTGATGTAGCCTGCAACACATTATATCCAGACCCTATTTTATATTAGTCCATTGAATTTCAACTACATTCTTCAGTATAGCTTCTGAAATCATGCAAATTAACCAATTAATGTAAAAACAAAACTATGTAATGAAACGTCCATGGTGAACAAATGGAAAGAAAATGGAACAAAAGATAAAAGAGTTGTATTATAAAACACAGAATATATATAGACACAATTATTGGCCCTGTTTGATTCATTCAAATGTGTTAAACGAAAACTATTTACGAATGAATGATGGTTTCACTGCATAAAAGGGTGAAGACAAAAAAGCTATTAACGAAATACATAAGAATACCAAAGGCTGCAAAGCAATCGCCAAAGATCTCTCTTATATAACAGTTGGTAAAGTTATTAAGAATGTTCACAATGAAGTTGAAGTTGACTCTTCTATGACGTGAGGCAGAGAAGAAACTAAGAGATGTCTGCAAATGTTGGTGCAGATGAAAGACACCACGTGAGACATCTAAAGAGCTTCAGACCTGCAGCAGTTTGTAATGGTGGGTTCAGCCAGTAACATACGTCCCACACACAAAATAAATAAGGATTATATACTACAAAAATGTAAGACTAATGTTTGTTATAGATCAACCACAATCTTTCTGTGATAATGTTGTGATAATCTTAGTATATGCTCTTAAAATTCAGTTGTTCCTCTAATTTAAAATGTATAAAGAAGTATATTGTGATGTAAATACTTCAGAGTTTGACAAACAATATTTGGGGCTATCTTTGAATATTTTTATAATCACTATCATTCATTTTAGTAAAATTAATTTACATTTATGAAAACCTTAAATTAAATAAGTTTTGTAGCCTGAGCTGCCTGGAAAAATTCACTGGTCCAGTTCTTCACTGTCTATTTTGCTGAGTCAGTCAGAGTTCAATCAAACTCTTCCTCCTTGTGGTTGAGCCTCTTTTAAGTGCACTTATCTGGAGCAGGCTAATGGTTGGTCCCTGTTGGTTAGCACACTCTGGCAGTATATTGTATATCACACAATATAACATAATACAGTGACGTTGTGTTGCTTTTTGCATTCCTCTGGTTTTACAACCACACATGAAGCTGATGAAACACCTTGCAGTGTTGATGCAGATTCTTTTCCAGCCTCTCACCCTCTTGCATACATAAGGTGTCAGTGTTGAAGTGTTCAAATAAAAACACTCCATCGGGGTCCTGGAGCTGGAATGCATTTGCATGATATTGTGAGTCAGAGCCTCAATCTATTCATCCAGGACTGACGCTCACAACTGGGGCTGAGCAGCACAGCCTGGTCTGTGGGGAGGAGAGGTGGCAGCCTGCTCCTGCTGACTGTAGCTGCACCGCATCTCTTTTATCTCTCGGTGGATCAGTTTTATGATGTTGAACACAAACAGAGGAAGAGAAACTCAAACAGTGGCAGAGACTCATTTGATTGTAAGAATATGCAGGCACATGTTAGGGTTGCATGATCTTCTGTTTGGGACTGATTTAATTAAGGCTACGACCCTGTGGAAAGCTGGCAGACCACAAATGCAGGTAGAAAAACACGCCCAGGACACATGCATATAATGTATAAACATCCTTTCACCCAGTCACACACACCTCAAACAATTCTGCAGTCATCATAAGCTCCTTTTCTCAGGAATATGGAAAACACAGACGCAGCAGATTTTAAAGCACGACAAGATCTTGGGAACAGACGGTGGCGGGATTTGTGGCAAGAGCAGAATCCCTGGGCAGTGCACTTTGCCTGTGCGGGGCCCCTATCCGCCCTCCGCTCCCCTGGGTGGCAGTCGTGTTGTCCCTCTGTCACTGAGCCAGATAACCACAACAACCTGTTTGTGCTGAATCTGCACTCACGCTCTCCAGGCCTGCGACTCACACACAAACACGGTGTCAACAGGTGCACACTACACCTGCACTGAACCACGCTGTCGTCAGGACTCCAGCCCTCCTCAAGGCCTCAATGTCACTTTTGTCATGTTTTTCATCGGCCTTCACATTACTCCGCAGGGGCAAACCGATAGTTGCATTAGAAGTGTGATCATGGCAAAAAAATGCATTGGCACAAAGCTAAAATACCCAAAAACTGACACAAGGTTCTCATCAACAAACTGTGCCTGAATCTGAACAACACAGCAAATACGCTTCATGACTCGAGGATGAATTACACGTCCTGGTACAACCAGTGATAAACAAACAGCACTTCATCTCATCTCTCCATTGTCTCCATCTTCTATTTACTTCGGTGGACAGGGCGGCCTTTTCTTTCTTTCCCCCCCCTCTCAGCATGGTTAAAGTGGGGGGGCGATGTGAGGGAGAGAGGGGAGGAGGAAGGATGGTCATTCGATGGGAGAAAGAGGAGAGAATGACACAGCAGTTTGCAGGACAGTCGCCACGCGATTAAACGACTGTCCTCAATACTACAATAGATCTTTTGTGCTCGAATAGCAGAGGTCATTCACGAGATGCAGATTTTAGCAGCATGGCCACAGGACGACAGCGACATACACAAACAGTTAGTGTTAATGTTGAAGTACATGCTGCGTTATATATCTCTTATAATACCCCAGAAGTACTTGCATGATGATAAAGGATGAAACTTGTGGTTCATTCTCTATTTCTGGACGCAAACGTGTCAAAACATGATCCTCATCTCACCTTGTTTTCAGGGTTCACAGATGAGGCCGCTTTCACCGGAAGGTCGCCTAAAAGGAAAGAGAGATTCTTGTCACTTCACAGCTTCCACACAGAAATCATCACCATCACTTCCAGGTATTGACAGTCTGAGGTCTAAGGCCTGTCCAGAGGAAGCCACCCTTCATCCACACACCACTCTGACCCACTGCTTCACCAGGATGAAATGCAACAGATGGAAGCTCAGGCAGAGCAGGAAGATGAACTTGAAAGAAGTGGATGATGTCATGGGTGGAGCAGCCCCCTCGTCTCCTGCTGCCTCCTGACTGACCTGAACTCCATCCCCGGTGCATCTGGCGTTAGATCATCTTTTACATTTCTACCGTGACGCCCAGCTGCCTCCTCCGTAGACTGGGGCAGTGGTGTGGATGTGTGAGCGGCAGCATCCGGTCACATCTCCGGCTCCATCAGCACCGCGGCACTGGGAGGGGAGCTCCATCTATTTACATCCACTCACCGCTTCGCTCAGCCTCCGGGCTTCTGCGCCTCCGCGACGGCGAACACACCCGCACGCAGGCTAGTGATCAGCAGCGACGTCGACAGCCGCTTTTTAAGAGGCAGTCCGCCCGTAGGTGCAGCCTGGCCAACCCGCATCCGATCACATCACAGCACGACGCCCCGGCTCGGTGCTCGCTGGCGGGTAAGCTGCGCGTCCTCTCTGCGCCACAGGATCCCGGAGCTCCTCTCCTCCAGCCCGCTCAGCCAATCAGAGGCGCGGACGCAGCACGCTCGGCGCACGAAGAAGACGCAACCATAATAAATCTGCCGGTGTTATTTTCCAAACTCAGGTAATGAAGTCACACATCATCGGGGTCTTACGTCATGCAGGGGGGTCTGCAGAAACATGAATGGTTTGCAGTGATACGTGTGTGTGTGCGCGCGCACTGACACAAAGACAGGTGTGGCTCTTTTTAACATTTTATATCGAGAACTTTTGAACATGAGGTCAAATATCCAGCTCCATCAATCTAAAGGTACATCTTTCTTTTCCCTGCCTGTTTGCACTAAATGACATGTGCAATAACTACTGCATTCACAAACAATCTATAAAGTTTAAGCACCTTTTGAATGTATGTAGTCTTAGTTGTCCTTGTTTTAACAGTAAAACACATTTTTACCTTGCTTTTGTTGAAATGTAACCATTGCACGGCTGAGCTGACCGGTTTCATTGTACTGCTGACCCTGTGTAAACTGCACACGACAAATAAAAACTTGATGAAATCTTGAACTTTATATTTGTTATGTTGATGTGTCGTCATTTCTGGAAATATTTGAATATGTAACCTTTATAGTCTTCTACTAATTAGAATGATTGTTGTTGTGAACAGAAGTAATAAATAATAAAAATCATTTCAGCTACTGTTCATTAATGAATTTTAATATTCATTACCTAGTAATTTCAGTTGTTTTTTTAAACTCAACATGTGCGTTTAACAGCAGAGCATCTTCCTCACAGTGTATTTGGTTTACAGGTTGGACACATTTAAAACATTTCTTTTTCAGGTCCTTATCTCTGGCTTTGACAGCACTGACCCACAAACTATCACTGAAGGTTAAAATATGACATTAATGTAAAGCACTTATTCTGTTACAGTGGTGTAAACCCACAGAAACATTAAGCAGGGGGCCAGATAAGGATAGTTTTTCACGTAATTAGTGTTGAGAAACAAGAATCCACCTGAAGGCACCAAGAGCACATATGACCCACTGCAGAACTTATATTACAGGGAAGCTTATTCATTATCATTGGACACACATGTTGTCACACATATCTCTTTCTCCCTGAAAAAATTACATACAAATGTATTAACATGTCAACACTTACACACTTAAAAAGGTATAAAATATTTTCACTCAAATCCAGACTTCATGTTATGTACAATCTAAACACTTTGACCTTTCACCTCTGTGAAGTAAGAGTTCATTCCTGGCCGGGGCTGGCCCAGGGGCAACTACCCAATCCCCACAGTCCACTGGCAGATTCCTCCCTCTGTGCTGTGGGGATGGAAGTGAAGAGGTGTGGATGACAGTAGTGGCGGGACACACAGGCTCCCGGTGCTCCAGGAGTGAGGCAGGAGGGGGAGAGTGGCGTAGTGACTGGTGGCGGGAGGGACACCAGTGGCCAGAGTGGAGAGCTGCTGCTGGAGCCGACTATCGGCCACAGAGAAGACAGGAGCTGAACGGATGGAGCGCAGCACTGCATCTTCAGCTGAACAGGAGGGAGACACGGGGGAAATCAATTGCTCAGTCTCACAGATATTAGAACTCATTAGAAGCTTCAGTGTCAGTGATTAATGCAAATACTTTTCTTTCCAACAGAACATGTGTGCTTACATCTTATGTCTCTGTCTTTAGGAGGCGTCAGTAAGCTCTGAGCCTGCTTGTTGCCTGCCTGAGCGGCTCGTTTGTAGAATTCCATCGCTGCCTTCAGGTTCTGCTGCACCCCGAAGCCGCTCTCATAACACTGACCCAGGAACAGCAGGGCAGTGTCATCCTGAGCACAAAACAACACAAAGGATTTAAGCCATTTGATCTTCAAGAGTGAGGATGACTGATATATAACATAGGCAGGTGCTTAGTGTCAGAGATAAAGCCATTGATAAAACCCTAGAAGGATCTAGAAGGGAACTCACCCCGTTCTCTGCTGCCATCTGCAGGTATTGGACGGACTTGCTCTCGTTTCTCACTGGCTCCTGACAGTAGACTGATGCGAGGCAGAGCTGAGCCTGAAGAGGGACAGAAAAAGAAAAAGGAGGGAGGTGGTTTTACATCAGTAAAAATCCTGTTAACATATTTTCTTACCTCTGGATTCATTATTTACACTAAGAGCAACACAGGATGGATAATGACAATAACTCAGCACACTTAATGTATTATTTGAGTCTTTTTAAAAATATATTCCAATGTGTATAAATGACACACAACACTGAATAAGAAGTTTCCTTTCATGACTTCTACCTTAGTGAGTCCAGCTACAGCAGCTTGTTCCAGCAGCTCAATGGCTGTGTTCAGCTCCTTTAGACTCTGATGCCCCCTGCTGGTCAGGAGCAGCTTTGCATAGCGGTACTGAGCTTGTGTGTGACCGCCAGCTGCTGCCTGTCTGTAATAATACAGAGCCTGGAAAAAAGAAAAAAATCGTCTCAGTAAAGAAGGAGAAGAGAAACTATGATGATTAAACACTAAAAAAACAATGTGAGCTGTCTGGATCCTCACCTTCTCTCTGTCCGTGCCGACTCCTCTGCCTTTCTCGTAACACACACCAACGTTAAACTGGGCTTTGTTGTAACCCTGCTCAGCTGCAGCTAGAAAACAGCTGAAAGCTTGGTCCAAGGTCTCACTTTTGGCACTTTCCAGACCTGATAGAAATGCAGAGGTTAAGATATTAGTAACAACAGAGTTAATGGGACATGTGGTTAGTTTAAAATAGTTTATCTTGGGTAGGAATCAATGTGTAAAAATGATTCGGTGTTTGACTGTGTCGGTAAATAATGACCTATGATGTTGAGGATGACAGAGACGCTGCTGTTTCCAACATGTCTGAGGTTCTGTGTTGCTCCTACCAGCCTCTCCTCGTCTGACAACACGTCCTGCAAACACAGGAGATAATAAAAACAACAGTAAAGATTACATGACAACCATGTCAATCACCGGTAGAAAAACTAAATGTTTATTTGAAATTTTTTTCTGTCTAATTTTTTTGAAATAAAATCTGCACTAGCTGAAGGAAGCAGACTCTCACCTTCTCATTAGCATCTTTAGTCTCTGTGTTGTCTTGGCTGGCATCATTCTGCAGTGGATAGGATGCTGACAGATGTGATTCCTCTAAATCTGGAAAGAAAAACATATTATATATTGTAAGATAACAAGAAAAATACAACTTCTTAAATTATCTTTTAACTAAACCAAGCAAAGACAAGTGAACCAACCAGGTATGGGTGAATCGTGGTTGAGGACTGCCCTCTGGTGGTCAGAGGTGGAGCTGTGATCAGTCAGATCGTCACTGCTGCTGTGAAGTCTGTCGTCACCTGAACTGCTGCTGCTCTGAGTTGCAGCCTGATCTTGGCTCTGTCTCTCTGGCACGACCTCCAGGCACAACAAACTATTGCTCCCCCTGGGCAGGACATCTCGCCGGGATACTGTGTAACCCAGATACAAGCAACAAAACAGAGTCAGGATTCAGATCACAAGATCTGATTAAAAAGAAAAATAATAGTGATAGATTATTTGTTGGTTTATTCAGTGGGTAAATGCATCAGAGAGTTCACACTTTTGTAACAAGGACACCATCAGCACTCACAGATCTCCAAAAGGATGCGGTAGCCACACTTATTGAGCGAGGAGGCGGCTGTCAGGGCGCCAGGCGCTGGACTGGGTTCTGTTCCTGAAGAGAACTTAGAGTGGATCCTCCTGCAGATCTGCATAAACAGAGCCGCTGCTGCACCCTGCACAGAAACATCAGTTTCAACGTCTAATCGCGGCAATAAGGATGTGCATCAGTACTCCAGTGAACCAACAGGTTATCATCAGTTTATAGTGTTAACATAGACACAAAGGAAATCAAACAAGTCTTAGAGTAAAGAGTATTAAATTGCTGCAGGGGAAATAAGAGCAGTCTACTGGTGCTGAATGGCAGTTTCAATGTTTTGTTTTTTATCAATGAGGGTTTTCAGTTTTTGTTTATCTATTTAATAGAAATAGCTTTCAAATGGTGACTGTACGCAAGTTCAACATGTTTATTTAATCAGTCTGGACTGTTAAAAGAGAGAACTTCCCAATATGTTGAAAACTGTGATAACTGAGCCAGAATGATGCTGAAAATAACCTTTCTCAGGCATTCATGCTAGTAACGTGACCTCTGCTCAGGCTCATACTGAGTCATCACAGGAAACTGTGCCATGTGATCTCGGCTGTGGACAAACAATATTGTTCAGCAGCTCCTGGTTTAGAAGAAGAGACTTGTAAACTGGCATATAACCATTCAACCGAGCAATGTGTAGCCACACTCAGCACAGGCAGGTGGATGGTAACCAGCATGGGAAGACAGCTGCTGGCACGAGCACAGATGTCATTAGGCACAGTCGACAAACCAACATGACATTGTTCATTCCAGTTTCTCAGATTAATTACCTCGACTGTGTAATGAACTGAAAATATTTTCACATTTCTCAAAATAACAAAGATGTCTAATGATTGTTTTGTAGCTTTGCACAGTCCCAGCCCAGAACAGAGCGGTGACTAATTGACAATGAAGTCGTCTTTTGTGGTTCCAGTCTGATTTGTACTTAAAAGCAATAAGACTGAAATCTGTGTGTGCTTGTGCAGTCGAATCATTTAATAACATATATTATCGCCATCTGTTTGTTTATTTGGAAGCTTCAAGCGGAGGCGTCCTTCATCTGACCCCATCAGGCTCTTTTTCAATATCTGTGTCTGACAGATGTTCGGTCTGTTTTCACATCTTAGTGCTTAACAGAGATCACACAAGCCCCCCCCCCACTGAACATACCAGTAAGTATGATGGTTGTGTATATTAGATTTAACTAGAACAGACTTACCCATCCCACAGCATCCAGCACAGTGTAATGTGGAAGCTCAGCGTAGCCAAACTGGAAGGTCCTCTGTTTCTTCCTCCTCTCCCCATCCTGCTCTTTCTGAGAGCTGAGAGAAAAACAGCATAAATGACATCTAACAATTTGATTTCTGTTCCCATCTCCAGTCTCTTGTATGAAAGCATCAAAGAAAGTCTGTTTTAAGGCAGATGTCTTTGTTTCCCTTCTTTCGACGAACCCTGTTCATACACACTGCAGATGCTGCTGGATGATGCAACCAGCTGAAACGGTTGCTGAGTGTGATACAAGGAGAGCGAGGGTTCAAAGAAGGGGTAAAGGAACAAGAAAGCACAGAGATGAGGACAGTGTTTGAGGTTTAACCTTAATTCTAAGGGTCTCTTTTCATCGACAGACTCTATGGCTCGTGGTTTAACGGCAGAGAAGGCAAAAGATCACAGTGATGCTCAAAGACCTTTGTTTTCAGACCTGGGCATTATCTGAACAGTGAAGAATAAAGGAAAAAGATGAAGTCACCTGCTGTCAGAGGATTGTCGAGAGGTGGAGAGGACAGTGGAGCTGTTGAAGACCTCATCCTCCACGTGGTGGTTCTGTGGGAGTCGCAGGGAGGTGCTGCCATGGCATCGATGCAGAACTGAACAGAGAAGTGGTGGGACGATAGACACTGAAGAAATTAGAACTGAATGGCCACTGTTGAAATTTGACAGATATAGAGCTATATGACCCCAGAAACCCCCCCCATACAGATAACAATAAGTCCCTTTTAGACGTGAACACAGTGCGGAGTATTTAAATCAAGCATTTTTTTTTGTAAAAGTGAAGCACATGATATTTTTACCTTATGCAAACTTGCATTTGCAGAGATGGTAAGAGTTAATTAATTAAATTTGTTTTCCAAACTATATTGATAATTAAATCCAAGCCAGTAAGTAATAAAATACATTCGGACAGTATAAGAATAGGTCGATGATAAATTGATTTGAACCAAATACTATGAGCTGACAGACCGATCCCAAATACTACCAATACAATGTCTTGCAAGTACTGATATTAATATTTGTATTATTAAAACATCATGTATCATCATCTATCATGTCCAACACTCTTCTTTGTGCTTTGCAGGAATGACCTCTTTGAAAATTCACATAATGAACTTTTCTTACTTCACAATAAAATCTGTCTGGTGTTGGAACATTGATGTAAATAAAGAGCAGTTTAAAAGATATGCTGTATGTTTGGCAATTATTTGTTGGTAATTATAATGTCTTCAATATTCATCTGTATATAATGCACTCACTTCATAAATCATGACATATTCTTTTCTGTAAGATGTCACAGCTTAAGATTTTTTTTTTCTTTTTTTTAATAAATATGTGCCTTAAGAAGAGAGATAAAACAGGAAACTGATTCTGATCTCTTCTGGCAGATTATTTAAAATGGTTTATTGTCCAACTCTACACACGTCACTGCCAGAGTTTCTGAAGGTTTATTTATTTCTTTATTATAATTTTTTTTACAATAAACAAGTAATAAAGCCATCTACCACCTGTTTCACCACAACACCAGCCACAGTGAAAGTATGATGTAAAACCAGTAGTTAAAGACAAATGGACCAAAATAAATGGTATTTACTCACTAAAGCAAACAACCCCTAATGATATATTATATAAAATATGTGTTGCAATTATAGTGCGTGTGTGTGCGTGTGTGTGCGTGCGTGCGTGCGTGTGTGTGTGTGTGTGTGTGTGTGTGTGTGTGTGTGTGCACCACCAGAAACAACATGGCCCCTGTACAACTCTACAACAACTCTTCTCTCACCTCTGCCAACAAACCCCTGGACCCTCCACATGGTTCCTCTTCCACAGCGGGTGTAACTAGCGACTTACGTCCGAGGACGACGACACATGTTCGGGTTGATCTGACGGCTGTCCGCGGCCCGTTCGAGGCCCCAGCGGCCGGTCCCGGAGCTCCTCCTGATTCAGAAACATGAACCCAGTCACGGGTTTGTGTCCGAACAGAACCGGAAGTGATGCAACCGAGACGGTTTGAGAAGGTGGTGCACAAACTCACAGCGCCACTGTGCGGCACGTGGGGGTATTACAACTCAATTACTACTCAAAAGATGATGTAGGAATAAAATACTATGTTGTATCTTCTTGTATTTGATGAAGGTTTTATAGATAATATACTATGTGTAGAAAATTGTAGTGTCTGTTATGTTTTATCTGTTTATATGTTCCTCTAGCATGGAGGTTTTCGTCTGCGTTGGTTTTCTGTTGGCTTGTCAGCAGGATTATAAAATAATACTTTCCCACAAATTCTCTTATTGTTTTATAATGTATATATTTGTTTTCATCTCAGGCTGTGTGAACGTATTTAGCTAATTCATATAGTTTCTTTGTTGGATATCTCTTGAGCATTTATATCTAGGCTGTATAGTTATGTGTTATGTACAGTATGTTAGTTTATTGTGGATTAATATATGAATTGCTCAAGAAGGGATAGGGTTAGTCATTCATTTAATAAATATAGTGAGTGAAATGTAGAATTTATATTTACAGAATATTAATTATTAATAATTAATCCAGAATATATATTTTGAATAATGGCTCCATTTAGACAAACCAAAACAAGTTAAAAAAATTTTTTTTTTCTCCATGAAAAATTAAGCTCCAGCAGTGTATTAAAATGTTTTCCTTTGACAATAAACATGGTTTAGAACACTTTAGTTAAGTGTTTCTAAAAGTCACACACAAATGTCCTCTCACATGTTTTACTAATAACATTAACAATGACTTGATTATATCCAAGTGTTGCAGTATAAACCATGTGACAGTGAACCAGCACTGTACAATGGAATTCAGTCATTTTCGCTTGTATTATTTACACTTCTAATGACTTGGGTGTTAATCACACATGACCTTTATGAATTAAAGGCATGTCTGAAAGGGTGTTAACTATGAAAATATGATGCTGAATCTGTGTTTTTCTCCCTGTGACCTCAGACAAAAGCCTAACCAGGACATTCTCCTGATTTGTGCTATGGGACTGTCAGACTTTAAATATCATCAACAATGTTAAGAGAAGGCACATTTTCTGTTATGTTACATTACAAAAATTGGAGATAGACTTCTGCATTAATATGAAATTGTATTTTGAAAATGCCATTTTACATCGAGGACACACTTTGCAATTTGGTATCTCCGTGTTAGAAATTAAATCTAAAAAAGGAATACCTGAAGGAATACGTTCTGAATTTCTGAAAAAGTCCATCATTTCTAAAATCAATAAATTGTGGAGATTCAGCTCACCTAAGGAAGGCATGTATTTTATTTTCAAATAAAGTTTCTGCATATAGTCATGAATTACACATGGGGACCTCCAGTATTTATGAAGCTGTCTAATGCAAAATTAACCACATTTCTGCCATTAATTCTTTGACTTCTGGCATTTGTAGTATTTCTCTCATCCACAGTTTCTCTGAGGACACGTACATATTTGTGAAGGTATTTCAGCTCTCGTCTTACTGTAAATGTGTAATGTGCAGAGAGGTGGTGGAGAGAATTAGTAGACTGTGTTTCATCCAAGATGAAAGACTCTGGTAAATGATTTCTCACTGTGTATGTGCACTCTTTCTCTGTATTTATCAGTCCACATGAATAAAGGATTCACTCGCAGGTTCAGGGGTTGATTCAGTAAACCGTCCAGAAATCATCAGTCACTCAGCAGGACAGCTTGGCTTTTATCTGCGGTGGCCGTGGGTCAAACAGTGACGCACGCCAAGACACTTTTACTGGAAACATGCACTCTTCCAGTCAGACGGGTCCAAAACAGGGGGCTGAAGGGAGGAGCTCTGCAGTCGTGAAGTGAGATTTAACTTGGAATAAGTCACATCTTGACTGGTTTCCATGGTGACACAGTCATCATGACTCTGGTGACTCTCGCTTAGCATCCCCCCCGAGCAAATAAGTCTAGCCTGCAGTAATTTGTAATGTTAGAGAGATCTTTGCAGGGCAAAATAATGTTTGCTGACTCGCCCGGGGCAAAATTTGTCTGTGCAATATGGAAAACACAGAGTTGAGCTGGAAACAGCGTCCCGCTGGACCTGACTAATTGAGCAGTTTGTTTTTACCCATGTTTCAGTTTGTTCTCAAGGTTTTATGTTTGAAAAATTGAGAAAAGATGGGACTTTGCAATTCCTAAGCAATTTCTGAAATTGCTCCTTTTTTGCCACTGAAGTTTATTACTCTCAGGCTGCCTGAGTGATTACAGACATGTGGGTTTAAAGGCAGTAGCCTATAGGTGCCAACACTTATTTGTGTATTTTGTTGATTTCACTGTAATCCAACAACTATTTAAAAAAACAACACAACACACACATTCTCTTATACCTTTACTCATTCCATGAACAAAAAAGGTGCAAGAAGAAGAAAAATCTTCATCAACATAGTAATACACCATGTTGTATGTGCAAGTACTTTACTTAAGTGTATAAGTGTGTAACTTCCTTACTTAAGTACAGTTTTAAGGGGCTAGTATTATAACTCAGGGACATTTTAGGGAAATACTAATAATTTCTACATTATACATATACATGACAGTGACAATTACAGATTATGATTTTACACACATGATAAACTCGTACAACACAGTTTATTGGTCAAAGTTAAAAAAGCAGTTCCCAACATTTATTGTTGTGCAAGCCCAAGTGCTGTGTGTCTTTGTCATTTTTTCAACCTAATTGATAATATCACAATTTGTAGTTTACATTGTCGTATTAGCACCTAAGCAAAGTTTGGACTTTTTGGAGCATTTCTTCTTTTTTTTTTTATCTCGAACATTTTTGCAGGCTGCCCTTCCAAACAAACACCGCACACTCACCGCTGTGAAACAATCCTCTTCACCCCGACCTCTGGAATCCCAAGCCCACATAGGTCTCAGTCAGAGGAAGGGGAGGGAGGGCAGCTATAGACGGACGTGCAGTGGAACCCAACTGGATGACCCCTTTATTTTGTTAGCTGTGTGGGCCGGTGTGAGGATGGTTTGCAGGATGTGTGTGTGTGTGTGTGTGTGTGTGTTTTGTCTTCTCCAAGGTTTTGGCTATCTGTCTAAATAATCTGTGGATGTTGAACTGGGGATTACAGAGGATTTGTTCAGTGCAGAGTGAGCCTGAGTTGAAGTTGTAGATTTTGGGGCCATCCAGACAGAGAGGACATGGCCGGTGTGGAAGTAAAGAAGTGGCTTTCCGACAATGCAAGGCCACGGCAGCAAATCCTTCAAGCTTCAGACAGCTTGGAGGGAGAGAGAGAGAGAGAAAGACTTAGATTTGAGTACTAAATTAAGTGAAGGGGGCGGGGGATTTAAAGAAAAGGCACTGGGGGGTGTTTCTTGCCCCTCTCTCCCCCTTTTTCTCTCCCCTGCCGGTCTCCTTGGTCACACATGCACACATACCACTCGCACACACACCAACATTGACGAGGGCTCAGTCCTGCTATGGCCACCACCACCACAGAGGAGAGTTCTCCGGTCCCGGCCTCCGTAGCATCCCAGCAGCCTGACTTGGAAACTAGCGTAGAACCCGGCTCAGCGGTGAAGCCTGAGCCCAGCGAGGCCCAATGTGACAGAGAGGGAAGAGAAGATGAGGAGGACGCGGGAGGAAGAAGCTCTGTGCCAGGGCAGGAGAGTGCAAGAGGGCAGAGTCCGGACCCGGAGTGGCTGGAGGAGAGGTTCAGGATCGACAGAAAGAAGCTGGAGAACATGTTGTACGGTGAGATGAAATGTTAAAAGATGGTACAATCCTACACCTGGTTGTCACATACGATTGTTTTCATCCTCTGAAACTTTCTCTGTTTCTGACGCCTATGAAGGCCTCCCTGCGTGCTCCTCCCTACCCGTCCTTGTTATCTGCCTGACCTTGTGTGTCTGTCAGCGCCTCCAACTGGCTGCTCCCTGGCTGTCACCATCATTTTACCTGTCATCCACTAAACTCCTGTTGCTGTATCACCATGATTTATGACCTGTAATTGTTTATGCATTCAGGAGTCTTTTCCCCCTATTATTATTCCTGTCTCTGAAGCAGGGGTAACTGCCTCTGTTAGTTATCACTGCTCGGCAGGTTTATGACAAATGCCTCCCCTGTGTTAGGGGGGAAAATCTTTCTGACAGTGCGCCACTGCTGCAGATAAGGGCCGATGTTTGTCTGTCTGTCCTTGCAAGGCCTCTCGATGGGAAGGCGCTCGAGCCGGTTGAGCTGTGATCACTGTGTGGCTGCTTTAATGTGTGTGTGCAGCTGGGGCCGTGCTTTTGTAGGTGATTATTGCACAGCTCACTCTTTCAGGTGATAATCTGTAACACTGCACTTGAGATGTCAGTCTGATGGGCTGCAGAGCTGCTTTTTTTTGGGTCTCACAATCCTTCAAGATATTGCAGTCACTCTGTGATGTTTTTGGGGCGAGTGGGAGGTCTTTGCGTCACCAAATGCCATCAATGTCTCTGACTAATTTGTGGTCGCCCCCCCCATCCACCAACGTCTCTCTCCACCCCACACTGTTCTCTTACCATTCCTCAGCTCCGGCCAGCGTAACCCAGAGCGATGATGAGGGGTGAGGGCGTTCCTTTGGCTCCCCCCCCCCGTACCCTGTAAATGTCACCCTGGAACGATGGCCTTTTGTTCCAATCACTTGGCCGAGTAAACATTTAAATGTTGACTTTGCACACATGTTTGATTCTGAACATTATTGTGCGGTTAACAGGAGAATATGGTGCAGGAACTTTAAAGTACCTATGTATGTTCTTCATGTTTTCTCTCCTTGTGTCTTTCAGCTCCAAAGCACGGAGATGCTGAGACGGGCGAGAAGTTTTTTGAGAGAGTAAGTAAATCTCCACATGTATTTTATTCATGAACTAAAGGATGAAATGTCACAGAGAGAAAATTCATCTTTGTTCCTCAGTAATTGTCCAAACATGAAACCTCCCACCTAAATGCAGCCTAGAGATCAACAAGAGCATCCCCGCCAACAGTT